GTGCAGGAAAACGGAAGGGAGAGGTGATACATATCTATAGCAGAATGCGCATCTGGTTCATTCTGCTCTTCGCTTTGGTAGCGCAAAGTCGTCTGTATCTTAAAGTCAAGTTTTTCCCCACCCTCCTCCCCGTTTATGAATTGGACAGCATGCAACGATGTAAACAACGTTATGGCATTTGTCTATTTTAATGCCAACATTCATTTTTGTTACTCCTGTGTATTTTTAATTTCAGGCTTTACCTATCATGGCAATATGTATAACTACACGTTTTCCACGCTATCATTAATATCTCAAAAATTAAGATAGTATGCATGGAGAATGATAAAAAATGAATCGGTAATTAGCTGATTGTATAATTTATGCATCATACACAACTTAATTCGCAAAAATGCGCTACTTTTGGCCTTTCATATATTGGCGAATTTTAAAGTATATATAGTAGGTTAAGCACCAACACCTGAGGCTTTAAGCCAGATAAATCCCGAGGGCCGAAGGGATTTATTTGGCTTAAAGTTGGTGTTCGAGGTGTTTAACCGACTTATAGCACGATTGGTGAGGTTTTGTTCCCGAACCAACTCTTAAGGCTGTTTTCCACTTCGCGCGTATCGTACCGTAATGTATCGATGAGCATGCGCAGATTGAAAAGAGGTTTATAAATCCACGTACTTCCGGGTGTATTCGCGTATCAAAATAAAAAGTTCGTCGCAAGTCAACTTTTTGGCGTACTACGGAAGTACTACCCAATCAACATTCACGAAATTTTGAAATTTAAAAACGTTTTCGCTACGTTACGGTACGATACGCTCGAAGTGGAAAACGGCCTTTAAGGCTGTTTTCCACTTCAAGCGTAACGTACCGACACGCATCAAAACAAATTTTAAATTTCAAAATTTAGTGAATGTTGATTGGTTAACACTTCCATAGTACGATAAAATGTTGACTTGCGAGAAACGTTTTATTTTGATACGCGAATCAACCGGAAGTACGTAAATTTGAAACCCATCTTCAGGCTTCGGATGCTCACCGGTACGTTACGTTACGATACGGGCGAAGTGGAAAACGGTCTTTACACTTGTGGGACGTAGAATCTGGTTGAATGATGTGGACGGGCATGCGCATTTTGCTGATTGGCGTCACGCAAGTGAAACATCAAATATTTTTGTATATTTCTTCTGCATATAACCCATAAATGTTGTATGCAGAACAAATACATAACGTTATCCTCAAGGTTTACTAAATTGTGCCTTGATCTTGATATTTTGGAGTAGTATACATTCGAAACACAATTAGTGAGCGAAAAGTGCAACTATAGGCCCTCTGAACCAGTGGTCCTGCGATTCCGGTGCAGCGCTCTAACGCATCTAGAAGAGTATAGCCCCCTCCCCCCCCATATAGCGAGGGAAGTGACGTCATAACGTGTGAGTACGGTGTACCTATACAGTACGTACGGTACATCGTGTTTTATCGTCTGAAAAAAGTTGTTTATCCATGTAAATTTTGTATTTAGTAGAAAAGAATTGCCTTTTTCAGTTACGCGCAGTAAGTACAAAAATATCAAAAGGGAGATAAACGTGGTTTAACGAACACGAAATCGTACTGACTTGGAACTAAATGATGTTGCTAAGACACCGCTTTGCTTGCATAAATTAACACACAGATTAACGTTATAAACCATTTATTACTAAAGTATAACAACTTTACATAACTAAACTTGCTGTCCGGCTTTTACACTGTCCACACATTTGCTCATAAGGCCCGTTTAAATCCGAACTACTACATATAGATTTTGTTAGATTTCAAAATCATGTTGGGTACAATTTTGTGCGATGAGCATGAGCGTATGAGCACATGCTCATAACTGCCATGAGCACGTGCTCATCTGCTCATCCTGCATGAGCGTATTAGCACCTGCTCATGAGCATATGCTCAGATCTGCTCATAAGACCCCAAGACTGGGTGTACATTCTTCGTTAGTGGAAGCCACTGCAAAAAAATGATTAGTACACAAATGTATACACTATTTTCGCGTGTTTTTGCCATTTTGATTTGTACCCGGCCGACCCATGTAAAAATGACAAGAAGACAGGAAAAGCAATTTATTTTAATGACGAAGGTTCATGCTGTGTCTATACTGGTATTTTTCTTCATCAAAATTGTAACCCTTCAAAAGCCTTTTTATAAGAAACTGCATGTCTTATTAACAGCTGCTTCTGGATCAAAATCATCGTTTTCCACAAGCTAATCTTTTGTGTACATTATCTTCTTATGTATTGGATCTTTCTTTAGTTGTCTCATCCACGAGAGACGCTCCATTATAAATATTTTCCAGTTCCTTCTGGAGTTTAGGCAGAATATTAGAGTTAGCTTTGTCCTTAGAGGATTGCTCATCTAGCCTACTGTTGATAAGGCTTTCTTTCATTTCCTCAAAAGCTATATTACTTATTTGCTTTGCTTCGTCTATCAACAGACAACAGTATTCAAGGGTACATTTCATCTTCAGCTTCATTATCAATCGAAATTTCAGACCGATGAGTTTAAGTTGTCGAAACATCGTCTTGGAAATCCCTTTCCTGGGTCTAAATGTCTCCGAGTCTATTTGAGACATGTTTCTTTCTTGTTCGCGTGGTGGACAGTATTCCTTTTCGTGTCTTCGTAGATTGCAACCACGGTTAAATTGCTTTCAGCAAAATTGGCAGCTCATTCCGTTAGTACTGACTGTGCAGAAATGCCTTGTTATTGAGAAACATTGCACCTTTATGCCTGCTCGTGAGTTGCTCTGAGCAGGTGCTCATAAGTTCCGTTACGCACTGGTGTTTACAAGGGAACGCCTACAGAAGTCTTACAGAACCCCAGAGAATCGACCCTACATCGACCTCTCATCGACCTGACACATCGACCTCTTATAAGAAGGCAAGGGTTACAATTTTGATGAAGAGAATGATGATCATGATTTGAACAGTATTAGCATGTAAAAACATACCAGTATAGACATAGCATGTAACTTTGTCATTAAATAAATTGCTTTTCCTGTCATTTTTACATGGCCATGGGTCGCTCGGTACAAATCAAAATGGCAAAAACACGCGAAAATATATACATTTGTGTACTAATAATTTTTTGCAGTGGTTTCCACGAACGAGACTGTAAACCCAGTCTTCGGGCCTAAACGGGCCTTATGAGCAGATGAGCATGTGCTCATGAGCAATTATTAGCATGTGCTCATACGTTCACCGCACAAAATTGTACCCGACATGATTTTGAAAATCTAACAAAATCTATACGTAATAGTTCGGCTTTAATCGGGCCATGTGAGCACATTGTAAGTGTAAAATCCCGACAGCATATTTAGTTATGTTAAATTCTTATACTTTAGTTTAATGGTTTATAACGTTAATCTGTGTGTTAATTTATGCACGTTAAGCGGTGTCCTAGCAACATTATTTAGCTCCAGGTCAGTACAATTTGTATTCGTTAAACCCCATGTATCTCCCTATCGACGGTTCTTTTAAAATTAAGAACCACCATATTTACAAAAGAATACGAATAAATTTTCAAGAGATATAAACAAATATTTCAATTGTACGTAATGTACGTGCACTGTATGACGTCAGATAAAAAAAGAATGTTCACACTGTACGTACTGGACGTATCGTACGTACTGTAGGTACACCGTTACCCACACGTTATGACGTCACTTCCCTCGCTATATGGGGCCTATCATCTACTTCTAACCAACTGAGCTATAGAGTGCAGCTGACGAGCATTATTCACAAGTGTTGTACAAATATATACTGGAGAAGCCAGCATAACGCCCGTTCTCCACTAGGCGAATTTGTTCGCGCGAACAGTAAAAAAGTAGGAACTGATCCAACTTTTTCGCGGCGAATTTTTTCGCTGACCAATCACATTGCCAAGATTTGTTTTTCGCTTCGCGTCGCGCGAAAAAATTCGCCTAGTGGAGAACGGGCATAAGGTGTGAGTAAATATCAAGATTTTAGGCATCTTGCGCAATAGAACTAACATTTGAAGGGGTTTTGTAGATGGAGATTTCGATCGGAAAATAAGCTTCCAGAAAACGTTATAAACAAAAAGATGCCGAATTTTTTGCCACTTGACGACAATATAAATAGATGTACAAGGTATCTGTCGTAAATTTCATTTTCTCATTGTCAATATTATCTTAGATTTCATTGTATAACGTTTTACTGTGTAGTTATTCTATCTTATAGAATAGCTGGCTCGGAAGATTGGGCAACCACTTCTTCCGTCATCGTCGACAACCAATTCATTAAATTATTAAATACGTGTGGGCTGGGCCTAACAAGCATGCGCGCGCGACGGTTTCCCTTTGTACCTTCATTCCCGCAACCGAGCCAGCCTGGTTGTTGAGGTAATATAATATGGGTAAATTTTCAACTTGGCAGCCGAGACCTCGCCTGTTTTAAATACGATCTCGGCAACCGACTTCTATATACTGTAAACAATTCTAGAAGATTTGGACTGTGAATTTTATACATGAATTAGACTGAACCACGAGCAGTTGTGAAAAATGCAACAATAGGCCCTCAGGAATCAAACCTGCCCCCCTGCAAGAGGGCATATAGATGCACTTTTCGCAACTGCTCCAGGTCAGGTCTATATAAAATTCGCATTCGAAATAGTTATATCGAGTGTAGATGCCAAAAATCCCGATATTTTTCCATATAAACAACCCAGCTCACAAAACAGGAGCGTTAGGAGACGAACAGTATAGCTGTCATGCCATATTATACCGTTTCAATGACAACAGGTTCTCGAGCCGATGATCGAATAATCAGCCTCAGGCACCGACGTGATGCAGCCTCGTCTAAATCTCTCATAACAGCTATACCCTCTTCTGGTCGTGCATTTTCAATTTGCAACACATTCTGGATTGCAGCAGCTGCTTCAGGCAACGTATGCATGGAAGATATCTGTCTCGCCAGGGGAGTGAGTGGCTCTACTTGTCTCCGATTAATTCTCATAGATCTTGCACGGTTGTTGTTTAATTGCAGTACTGTGTGAAGACTGTCGGCGAGTTGATCAACGGACGTAATGCCATTGGTCACACGTTCTAAATGGATATGATCCTCCACATGGCCCATTAAATTTTCATTCTGAATTTCCTCACGGGTCAAATGGACAATAATCTAAGCAGGAAAGAGAAAGCTTATTGCAGACACCCTGCAAGTTGGTACTCCGCTACCCTCCCTATAAAATGCTGAAAAATTTATAACCTCCAACCCCCCCCCAACATTTGTATAAATTTTTCAATACTGTAAAGAGTAGAGTACAAGTCAATCAAGAGCCAGAACTATTGTTTCCCTTGCAGATTTTTGCTTTAAAATTATATTATCTCTATTAGAACAATAACTCGAGATATTTATCAGGGTGTGTTAAACTATAGAAAGTATAACAAACTATTAATGCACATGTTACAATGTGTAACACACAACTTAAACTGGCATTTATAAGTTTGATTAAATTTACTAGTTAATAGTTAGTTCAAAGCCAGTTTAACCCTTTAAGTGGCAATAAAAAGGTTTTGTCCATTAGGAATGTTTGGTATGAGAATTTTCCGGTATCGGTATACCGAAAAAATTATACCGATATTATCGGTATACCGGTTTTTCGCTTTTTAAATTAGATAGGAAAATTCCTTTGTAGAAATTTGAAGGAAATTTTGATTTTGAATAATTTCAAAAGTAGAAATTAATTATAGTCTAGGACCTGTATATGAGTTTGTATGCATTTCATTTAGGACAGATAATCTCAACTGTTTTAGGGCAAGTTAACCATGACGGTCGACATGGTAACGCTGTCCGAACACCAATTCGGGGCGAAACATCCGAAACTGACCACACCCAAAAACGACGCTTTCGCCATACTGCTATCTACCAAACCATAAAAGCTTTGGCTATTCTGAGGTGCTTATATGGTTCAGAGATGGTACTTTTAGGGGTGGTCATTGGTAAGTGTGAAATGCCTAGCACTGATATTTCACAAGAAAATGACCATGCAATACTCATAAATACTCATAGTCAAACGTCAATTTGTGACTCAGATAAACAGCAGTGGACCTACATTACCTTTTTTCCTAAATCTTTTTTATAGAAACATAATTTGTACTTATTTATGTATATTATCACTGCTTTGGTGTAAAATAGTTGATACTTTGTGACCGAAATAATAATTTGAAATGGACGTATTTGGCCAAATTCTCCACTTTTCTCCGCTGTTTATCGCCGATGTCGTTGAAATCCTTCCAATTATGTTTATACGTCAGCTCAGATATAATGGTATCAAGCACATTTTAAATAAGTTTTAACTTGGATTCAAGTACATCCTAGCTGTTTAACCATCGACAAGGTAAAACCACAACTTTGTCCAAATTCGGCGCCATTTTGTCATCCCATGTCGGTGTCAACAATTCGACCTTGTTACTCTTCCATCCAAGCCATTTCCATTGCACTAATAACAAATTTAACCCTTTATAAGGGGAGGAAACTGAAAAATCTAAACGGAGTGTAGGAAATGCAGCATTTTATCACCCTGTAAAATGTTGCTCACGAGTCTTTCAAAGCATTCCGTACAAATCTCGCGTGGCAAAGTAACAGGGACGAGACAGGTAGAGACTTTGAAGTTTTAAGCAAAGCAAAGGCACGCTGTAATAGCAACTGCAGTATGGTAAGACCAACAATCAACATTTAATTTATATAGTATGACATGTTCATATAATATGTATTTATTTGTCGCTAAAAGAAATAAAACAAACGTTTGTATGATTGTATTTAGCTTTTAGTCTATTTCACGCAGCCTTCTTCTACCTTCGTGAAATAATTCACCCCCCTGTCACGTCCCTGTTACTTTGTCACGCGAGATTTGTACGGAATGTTTTGAAAGACTCGTGAGCAACATTTTACATAGCCTGCGTGCAGGCCCAAGGGAACTGATAGTGGGCCTGCAACCATCGCCCGGTATTTTGTAAAACGCCCCTTTTCATAACACGCCCCATTCGCGCGTCAATTGTCAAAAAAGAACCAATGACAGCACCCAAATATTAACAAACAAACTCGCATTAAAACGTTGCGGGGTTTTCTCTGCTTATTCAGAACATAAGCAATGTGTAAATGGCAGCGTTTTAACTCCAAAAAGCAAGCAACGCAGTCAGTAATTGCCAAATTTGCAAGTGCTCATTTTCAACTAAAATCGGAACAGGCAAATTAGGACGAATTTCAACAGAAAACCAGTCTCAAACTTCAAGTCATGAGGGAAGTCGTGCGACCACATTAGGATTTATATTATGTGTGCTTCGCTGTCGCCATTGGCATTGTTATAAATAAATTGTCTCACTTATCAGATCGTGTGTGCAATTCTTGTTGGCGGCGGAAAGTACGAAATTTATTTCATTTGGTAAAGAACTCTACAAAAGAAGAGAGCGTTCCGAGTCCAGATCGTTTCGTTTCAAACGGCAATTTAATACCGCCTTCTGTTTCGCTCTCTCAGCGAAGCCTTGTAAATCGCACAGTGTTTCGAATAGGCTTACAGTCCTTACATGCAACTGGATCTCAACATCAAAAAGATAATTTTCTTGAGGAAGTGAGAACACATAACGTATCAACTGAAGTCTGTTTGAAATTAATGAAACTCAAGTAAAGGTTACTATAGTTTACCCCAGTCGTAATTTGCTATTCCAACACCTCACGACAAGCAATCCCCTTTGGCAATAACGGCAAAAACATGTCTTCCTTCAAGTAAACAATAAACAGTCTGTTCTTGTTCCATTTGTAATCGAAAAAAGTGATCAATTTTCAAATTTTAAACTTATCGAGAGCCTTTGTCTATGCCTTTGTGATGAATCACTGTTCCCTTGGGCCTTCACGCGGGCTAGGTTAATTAATTACCGATCGCCTCAGCTAGCAGATGGGAATTTAGCCGGCGGTTCGGCCGGCGAAAATCGAAAACATGGGGTGATGATTGCAGGCCCACTATCAGTTCCCTTGGGCCTGCACGCAGGCTACATTTTACAGGGTGATAAAATGCTGCATTTCTTATATTTTGTTTAAATTTTTCAGTTTTCTACGTACCCTCATAAAGGGTTAAATTTGTTATTAGTGCAATGGAAATGGCTTGGATGGAAGAATAACAAGGTCGAATTGTTGACACCGACATGGGATGACAAAATGGCGCCGAATTTGGACAAAGTTGAGGTTTTACCTTGTCGATGGTTAAACAGCTATGATCTACTTGAAACCAAGTTAAAACTTATTTAAAATGTGCTTGATATACCATTATATCTGAGCTGACGTACATATTTGGAAGGATTTCAACGAGATCGGCGATAAACAGCGGAGTAAAGTGGAGAATTTGGCTAAATATGTCCACTTGCAGGAGGTAGGTAGATATAGAATTATTATTTCGGTCACAAAGTATCAACTATTTTACACCAAAGCAGTGATAATATACATAAATAAGTACCAATTATGTTTCTATAAAAAAAGATTTAGGAAAAAAGGTAATGTAGGTCCACTGCTGTTTATCTGAATTTGTAAGTCACAAATTGACGTTTGACTATGAGTATTGCATGGTCATTTTCTTGTGAAATATCAGTGCTAGGCATTTCACACTTACCAATGACCACCCCTAAAAGTACCATGTCTGAACCATATAAGCACCTCAGAATAGCCAAAGCTTTTATGGTTTGGTAGATAGGAGTATGGTGAAAGCGTCGTTTTTGGGTGTGGTCAGTTTCGGACGTTTCGCCCCGGATTGGGGTTCGGGCAGTATTACCATGTTGACCGTCATGGTCAACTTGCCCCAAAACAGTTGAGATTATCTTTTCTAAATAAAATGGATACAAACTCATATACAGGTCCTCAACTATTAACAATTAATTATTTGCCGAAGGCGAAGTGATTACCGGTGAATATTCACCGAGACGAAGTCGAGGTGAATATTCACGGTAATCACAGAGCCTGAGGCATTATTAACAATAGTGCAAAGCATCTTTGCACTAAAAAGCGTGTATATACCCTAATGTTTCGTGAAGCGTGCACACTCAATTCCAAGCTCAATTAAATCTCGACTGTAAACTGAAACAGTGAAATTAAATTGACAACAAACGCGAAACTGCTTGTATAGTGGCGCATAAAAGTCCAAAAACGTTCTTCAATACACCAAAATTTAAAACACTGCATTCAGACATTTCATTTTCAGTCTTGACAGCCTTCACCATCATTATATAACTATGGTTTGTCTCTGCAGGATTTTTCAGGAACGTTCAACCTCTGCAAGAATTTTTTTCAAGACTGCATTTGCACTGCCTATTATGTTTTTAACGAAGTGGCACATTTTCTACATATAAATCAGGCAACTAGTTCAATGTTTTACTCACCCGTGGAAGACAATCGGCATGTTCAAGAGGAATGTACTGCCCACCAGTAATAAGACTAAGCCCCATAAAAA